CTTTCGTCTTTAATAACTATTTTGCATTTGTATTTGCCTAATTTACATTTGTATTGGCCAGGTATTTACCTGGATTCAGGTAACAACGTATGTCGTTGAACAGTCGGCGCAACAAAGCCGCGTAACATAAGATCAGTTTTCTTTCAATCGCATAACAATGTTGTAACAGCAGTCATAACACAGCAGAAGCGTCCGCTCCTAAAGCCCTGCGGCGACTGTGTTGCTCAACCGATGACTCTGTGATGTCCACAACAGTTACCTAAGTATTGCTTTCGTGTATCAATATCTATGCTGTCCTTATGTTTCTAAATATTCCGCAAAGGCCGGCGCCACTGTTTGCGAAACATTATCAGGCAGCACAAGCTCCGCCAGCATATCCTAACAACGTCAGGTTGCATTTGCGAGAACACAGAAGTGTTCTTCTGCTACTATTCAACTAATATTGCGGTACCGTTGGGCCCTCTGATTTAGCAATGTCTTGGAAACGTCATTTTGTTTGCTTTTTGCAAACATAGGTTAAACAGAGTTATCGCATGTCTGTTTGTACGCAGTAAGCAAACTGTTCCCGTGGAAGTTCGGAAACAGTTTGGGTTTGTACTGCTAGAATGCAGTCGGCAAACATTGTTTTCCAGATGTGTTCCAACCATACGACACAACAGTTTTGTGGTAGGTTATGATAGATGTTTCGAGGAATTTGCTGCGGAAAATCTGGCCAGCAGTGTTTGTTAACTGTTGTGTCAATCTATTTGGCAGAAGTTGCGCGCCACAACAGGACTGCAGCTGTACGTCAGTTATTGCCAACGGTTGCCGCACGCATCTCCTCAACATTTGCACTGCAGGACGAGCCAGCGCTCCTCACAACACTGCTTTCCATGATCAGGGCAGATAATTTCATATCACAGCTGCTTGGCATAGCTTTGTGGGTGTTCCTTATACTCGACACGCAACAATTAGAAAACCGCTGGGGAGCATTTTGGCAGATATTGCTTGCAGAGCTTGTCAGCATAGAAGTACAGCTCTGTTATTTAACTGTTAAAATACTTAGTACGCAACAGTGATCCACGTGCCCGGCAGAGTTTCGAAAACTGTTTTCAGATTTTTGCCCATATCTTGCGGCACTAGACCGGTGAAGCAGCTGTCCCGCGGAGGAAAAGATCGCTTGCAAAAGCCCCAGAAGGCAGTACGCTGCCTAGCCTCGCCTGCTAGCACGTGACACAGGATGTGAACTTTCGCAAGGGATATTTCTGATGAGGTAATTTACACAACTTTTCAGCAGTGAATTCATCCCACACAAAACAAATTCATGAATATTCATTATTTTATTTCAATTATATACTGCGTTCAATGACCACAGCTCGATGATCCGCAACAATGTTGAAAGTAAGATACCCACGGTACGAATCTGGAAAAACCCATAAAAACCAATAAGTACTTTAACGCAGTGAACATGACGTTTTATACAGTCTATTGCTTTAATAAGAAAGTTCTTGTTTGCCGCAGTGGTAAAAAATAGTATGCATTCTATCCGTCCAAAAATAACCCTAACTTAGCTTGGGAATATTTATGCTGCGTGTATATGCTTGTCAGCCTGGGTTCTGTGTGAATCTACGTGGGCACAACATAAAAATCGCCTAAAAGCTCGCCACCAGTCAGACGACACAGCTACCCCTACATTGGCAACACTTCTTTTTTATGCTACCAGCGGAACTTAGGCTATTTATAATTAATAAATAAAATCATACAAGCCAGATATTCGGCTGACAGAACCCGTTAACGGCACAAAAACAGCCAATGTGATAATACTGGTCCCTTCTCATGCTTGATCCTGAAACTCTCCCGATCTCGTCCTCCACTGACTCGCACATCCTTGAGTATTCTCCTGCCAGCAAACAGAAGAATAACTGGAATCAAAAAAATCCTGATGCAATACCGCCAACCAAAGAAACCAACTAAATAAACTCGGGTATTTTGCTCGCCTGTAAAAGGGATTATGAGTTTGCCAATGTTCTTTATTCTCCGCTGAAGAATGGAAATGTCTCTAGTTGGACTAAAAAAACACCGCTCCTGTAATTTCATATCAGCATACAGTACCATATCTAGAGGTTTAGAAAATTTAGGTTAAGTGTCGTAAATAGCACTGTAACTTCGCGGTGGTATAAACATCTCCTAACAACCCCCAACGGCAAAACTTGTAGGCACATCATCGTGTGCTTTAAGCTGCCTCGACTCGTGCATGTAGGCTGGTCTCTTATTAGTAATCACAAGGATACGCTTCTCCCGGTGCTCCAGGAGAAGCTATAAAGATATAGCTTCCCCAGCTGCTGCAGATGGAAGCTGAAGGGGAAGCTGCAGGAGAGGACAATCGAACAATTAAAAATAAAAGTACCTTGCGATACTAAAACGCGTGAGATTTTTTTATCTGCTGAATAATAAAGGGTTTTGTTAGGGTGCCTTCATGTGCGCTTTGCTTAGGGTGGTGGCATCTCGCCATCTTGTCTCACACGTTTATTTTAATTTTTTGTTCAGAAGCGCGTGAAAGAGCGTGGCTCTGCACGCGTTTGTGGCGTTGACTGTATTATGGCGACATTTTGTTTTCGTTGATTTATTTGTATTTTCCCTGTGAGCGCGCGCTGTCGGCATCGGGTACTACAAAGGGTGGCATCACCCTAAACAGAAGGACATTGAGGCACCCTAGGTTTTGTCATTCCGCGATCCCTGGGATAGGCGGCCACGGTATCTAGCCGTAATCGCGCTGAAGAGGGTGCTTTGAGATCTAATGTTAGCTCACGGTAGCGCGGAGGCGGATCACGGAAGCGTTATGTCAAAACTCTCAAACAGAGAGTTTCAGCTTATCTTTTTCGTGAGCCGCCACCGCGCTACTGTGAGTTCGCTCTACATTTGCAAGCATGCTAGCACGGTAGCGCCCCCGGAGCGTTACCGTGTCCGTGGAAACTAGAGTGCTGTGCCATGCGTCTATGCTCGTCCTTCGTAAAGTGCTCTTCCATCTGGTGTGAGTGTACACTGTACTTCATTCGGTTGACGTCTTCTGGGCCGGTCGACGTTAGCACCGGCTCTGAGGGCAGGAACGTCAGCAAGCGAGTTTCGGCAGTTTCGGTGTGACATGTTAAACAGTGGAAACTGTGGCCTCGGTGAACGAATTGGAGCGTGGGAATAAGCCATGCGAGGACTCAACTGCGATGTGTACAACGCGTTGACACAAATAAAGCAAATTTCTTGAACTCATTTTGGTGTGAATCCTTAGTATAAAAGCTTTATTTCCAATATATTGGAAGTAAAACCTTCTAACAAAATTGGGGAAAATAAAGTATCTTTGAAGTAACTGTACCTGTACTAAGGCACATATTTAAGCGAGTACCTAGGCACGTACCTATGTACCGTTTCGTAAGAGTAAATAACTATTTAGGTACATTATTGAGGTAACTTTTACATGCCGTCCGCTACATTTAATCATTTTTGAGAAACTACATACGCTGCTGCTCACCAGCTACAAAATTTACGTTCCAAACATTTTAAAATTCTGTACTACATTGTTGTAGTAGCAGTGCACCGAGGAGAAGCATCGCCTTCATTGTAAGGGGAAGGGGGCGACCCTAATGGTGACTAGGTGCAGCAGGCATAACGGCGCCAATTGAATGGGGAACCCAGAAATTCGGCAGGCATTATCCGTGTCAATGAGGCTATAATTCAATACGCTCCGCCTTTGCATTAATAATGGTGACGGCAGACCCCTAAGACGTCTTTAGAGCAGCCGTGGCAGTCTTTAAAGAAATGTATAGAAGTGCAAGGCGACCATGTAGAAAAGCGACAAAATTTGTTCTCTAGATATTGCATGCACTTTACGATAAATAATTCAGACGTCCTCGAAACTAAATGTCGGTTATTATTTTGTTTATTTAGATGCAATAGGCACATATCAGTCTGCAAATATTTCCAGATATCTGCAAAAGAAAAAAATTCAAGGATTGTGATGAAGCAATCGAATTTTCTGTTGCTTTCGCATACATTCCTTTGACGAACTTATTTTTATTTAGACTTGAAGAGGTACATTATTGTGTAATAATCTATCACAGATAACAAGACTGCCGCAAGACTCGTGGCAGACGTCGTCGTGGTTTTCTGGTGGCTGTGCATCGGAGCTTTTCACGTGGGGGGACACGCTGGAACCACGTCTGTCCTTTGGGCCCTTCCTGCGACAACGCCTGCACCAAGAACGCGAATACAATTAACAAAACCGGGACTGCAGACACTGCTCGGAAGATAGAAAGATAAGCTATATTTATTTCAATGAGCTGTATATCTGGATGTAGAAGCAGCATTCATGGTTAATACGTAGGGCAATGGAAACAGCTGCAGTAAGATGTGCCGAAACAGCAATATCGCCAAAGGAAGATCAAAGCTGCAGTCGAGGTTTCGCGATTAACTGGATATGACAAATCGGGCAATTTTAACATTGGGACAAAACGCTTTCATATGCACCGATGCATTGTCCCTAATCGCTCTTTTTTCTTCCTCCAGCGATCGCAAAGCTTAGTAACTAACTACACTTTATATCAGAAAGACTAATAATGTCTAGCACCATAATACAACCGCTCCATAGCCGCATCCCTGCATTCAGACTAGCGATTGTTGTAGAAGCTAATGCATCAGTGGGAATTTGAGGAGGCAGTGCTAAACAACGGGAGAATTGAACGGCCGTCGCTAGGCGGACTCAAATAGACTGATCTCACCAGCCAGTTTAACTACGCCACCGCTGCCGCAATGCATCGAGGGAACATTAGTCTTTTTGCACGTGCGATAACCTCGCTGGAGCTCTGCGCGTGTAAAGCACGAGAAGGCACGAGCCCTTGCGTACACGACCGGCTGCCTCCCGAGAACTAAAGTTATGCCGGTGTCACGCATCCGCCGAACACTTCTCGAGATCGGTCTATTGTTAGAAGCGAAGAAAAGACAAGCGGAAGCTGACTAGCCTTTTGCAAGTTCTAGATGGAGACGGTCCAACCGGGTGGATTCAGGCAGTACGGTTTCCCGCATGCATCCGTGCAGCAAGGGACACCGGGGCACCGGACGTTAGAGCACGTGATGCTTCCAGTGTTGTCCTTGCATCCGCCCTCAGGCAGGACAGGAGAGGGACACACCGGAGCAGATTGAAGGAAATGATCGTCAACACCTGCGAAGAAACAAGAACAACGTCAGACGTTTCATGAATATGCAGCAACACCAAAGTTAATACAGATCATCCCAGTCACGGACTATTCCCACTATTCTATAAGTGCACTATTCTATAAGCTGCGAGCTTATAGAATAGTGCACGGTTCACCGCTTCAGGGAACCCCTAAAGGGCAGTAGCAATACCGCACGCATGAAATTTTGAAGCGGGATTCCCGTAGCGGTATAAACTGCCGTTTTGCTGTGTCACGCTCTTGTGTTTCTTACCATCCACACACCAGGATCCACCGCAGGGTTTAGGGCAGCATTCCTTCCCTTGGTCGGCGCACTCACTGGGCGTACAGGTCGTTAAAGTCGGGAAGGTCGTGAAGGGGCAGTCACTGGAAACAGCCTCCATGCTCGGGCATTCCGCTTCCGCCCGAGTGCACAACTGTACCAGGAGAGCTGCTAGAGCAAGGATCCGCAGAGAGTACTTCATGCTTAAGCAGCGCAGTCGAGACAGAGCGAACACCCTAATGTCGACTCGTAGTCCTTTTATGCGGAATGCTCATAGAAGCCGCTCCGCGGCGCGACCGGCTGGTCCCCTACTATTGGGTCAAAGACGGCGATCAGTAAGAACACGTGCTGCCCAGCGAACACGAACCCGCTTCTGAGATCGATGCACTATTGCGTTGCCTTTGCACGCGTCTGTTTGTTGTGTCTAGTGACTTGCACTTATAAAAGAAAAAAGAAATAACCGCAATTTAACTCGAGTGCAAACTTTTTTATATATAATATTGTTAGCCAGTGAGGACGATTTCAAGGATAGGAATCACAACGAAAAAAAAAAAACATACATTTTAGCATAAATAAAGGTAAACATTAAACAGTGTCCTAATAAAATAGCCAACATCATTCCATAATTAATGAAAGCATAAATTAAGAAACAAAATAATATCACGAAAGAAATAAGAAAAAAGAACTAACATATTTTAGTTTTTAAAGACTGAAAAAGAAAATGTCACTGCCGACTCGTGATATGAAGTAGGCGTTGAAAAGTATTTTCGATGCATTTGGAAGTCCACTAACAGCTGTACATGACCCAGCTTTATCGGGTAAAGCATTTCACTATTTGATTGCTCTAGCGAAGAAACATAATTTAAAACAGTCATTGCAAACAGATAGGTTTGGAATGTACATGATATGGGGGGGGCAAAGCCTTGAGAATTCGATTGTGCGGATTTCGAAGCAGAAGGATTTATTAATTTTAACGTGATTATGAATCAGCTTGAAAATAAATTTTAACCTATCAAGCTTGGTTAAAGATTCAGGTGATGGAAGGTAGACAAGTTCACATGGTTTAGTACAGTAGAGTCAATGCGGCGATATTTATTAAAAATGAAACGGGAGGCTCGCCGCTGGATTTTCTGAAGTTTAGAACAATTTGTTATGGGGTCCGTTACGATTTCGGCGTATTCAATACTAGGTCTAAATACAATTTTATAAGCAAGTATTTTTATTTCGGGTGTTGAACTAGCTAATATTCGCCTCAAGCACCACAATCTTTTACCAGCTTTTTTTTTAAACATCAATGTGGGTATTGCACCGTAGGTCAGGTGTAAATGTGAAACCTAAGTATCTATATTCCTTGGTCATGCCAAGCAGGCTACCGCCTTTGCTATAATTAAATTGAAATGTTCCCTATTTGCTCACATACATACCCATTTTTGGAGCAAACCCCTTTTTGCCATGTTTTTTTTTTTTTTTTACGTATACAATATAATCGTCAGCGAATAGATTGATTGGTACTGAAACGACGCTGGGCAAATCATACTTAACAGTCAAAAACAAAAGAGGGGGGGGGGGGGGGGATTTAAGACACTTCTTTGGGGTACGCTTGGCCTAAAGCAACTTGTGAAGGGCCAGATTCAATCAATCCAACTTTCACATACTGTTCGCGAAAGGAAAGGTAAAACGAAACTCATTGCGTGACGATACGAATTTTAAAAATTGAGTTTCTTTTTAAGTATCAGTTTTGAGTGTGCTACTTCATCAAATGCTCTCGCGAAGTCTAAAAGACATTATGCTTTCAGATATTATATGGTTCAAGTACCTTAGAGCAATTGCTAGGGATTGAAACGCAGCGACAATTACTGACGTCTGAAGCACTTCCGCTTTTGTAAACCGGTATAATTTTCGCACGTCTTCATTCGCTTGAAAAACTATCATATTCGTAAAATGTTTGGAAAAGGCGCCAGTTGCAGCAGCAAAACAGTTTTGTGTTACTGCCACTGCATATTTTTGCATCAATTTATTTTCTGGTTTGTTTGTTTGTTTGTTTGATCAAAAAATTAAAGACGTTTACAAATTTTTTTAATGAAAAATTAGAGCGTAGCTCTTGAGGAGGAGGAAGGGAGGGTACGGAGGAGAGGTATGCTCCTCCTGCGTACGCTCTCCTCCTCCCCTCCTCCAATTCAATTTTCCCGCTAAATTTAGCGGGGAAAATGACGTCACATGACTTGGTGTCTCGTCGCCATGGAACGGGAACAGCGCGAAAATAAACGAGGGGCGGGTAGAAGAGGTAACGACAGACAGCGTTCTTCCCCCTTCCTCTTCTACTCGTCCCCCGTTTATTTTCACGCGGTCCACGTTTCATGATGTCGAACCAACTCGCCCAACTTTATGCGTTGTTGTGTCACGTCTTCCATCAACAAATTCACTTTCTCCGCTAGATTTAGCGGACAAATTCAGGATCCCCGCTAGATTTTGCGGAAAAATTGACGTCATGTGACCTCTACACCAAATCGATTTCCCGCTAAATTTTAGCGGGGATAGCAAGGCAAGAGGCAGATTTCCTCTGCCTGACGACGCGCTTTATTCATTTATAAGGCAGCATTTTATGCTATGCATAGGCTCAGCGAACTGCCACTTGGCACGTCTAAACATTGAGATGAGCTGTAACTGGCACTTCCTTCTCAAGTCACTGGGCTTTTTTCTGTTTATGATTGGTTAAGTGAGAATAGAACGCGTACAGAAACGTGAGGAACATCATGATGGTGCTCTTTTGACATAGTTTTATTGGTCCTATCAGCTCGTAACGTCTGCTGCCTCTAGACTTGAAGGGACCATGAAATTACCTTTTTCCTTTTGCCAGATAACGTTTACGTTAAACCTTCAACGTTCACTGAATGCCGAACAGGCATCCGTTTTCGTCTCGGTCTATTAACTTCTACACAAAAAATTTATAAATGTCGACTTTTTCTTTCTCTCCAACTGACCTGAAAACAAGTTGCGGCGTAAATTTGACGGTCGTGACGTACTCTGGGACAGGAACCGGAAGTTCTCTCGGTAGTAGGAAAATGGGAGCGTTAGCGGCGGCGAGTTGGGGGTGCGCCGGTAGGTTCTACTGCGCTGATGACACCGACGCATTTTCTGAATCGGCGCTTCTCATCGCCGCGAAAGCCGTTGACACATCGCAGATGAGCGGAATCCAATTATATATGTTGCGCTACAGCAACAGCATGGGACTAGTCCTATACACTGGCATGCCTGTTGGGAAGTGCGGCGAGTCTTCTGGTGAAGACTCCAGAAGCCAGCCCTACTGTTACTGTTGCTAAAAGGCGGCCCGTGTTAGTCGTTTGCAAAGCGACGTAGATAAAAACAAATTGCCGCGGCGTTTTTCGCGGCCTCGGAGATGCAGGAGCGAGCCGACGTTAAAAAAAGATACGTTTGAACTACGACAGTGTCAGCAAGCGCCACGTAAATACCTGCTCACACTCGGAGCGGACGCGCGCGTTTGATGGAAGTGCTGCATTCGCGCTGTTGGTAAGCGCCTCGGGACCGATCTTTTACGATTGCAACTTGATTCTGACTTGACACTCGGCAAAGGAAGGTTGGACCGGCATTGCACGTAGCTCTGACGAACTGTTATAGCTGGACAGTGACGTGCAGTCGTGTCAGAATAAAAATTGCATACTAATAGCAGAGTGTACATACCGTGATACGAAGGTAATCCATACGGCGTTTATTTGAGCTCTATATCACACAAAACAAGATAGAATCGACGAGAGTCCCTTTTCGACGACAGTGTTCGTCAACATTGCCTCGGAAAACAAGGGGAAGAGATTGACCTCACCTCGTATAATCTAAAATTGAGGTCAGCGATCAAACTATAATACGAGAAAGGTCCACAAGGGTCGCGCGGGAATATTCCATTCAGCACGCCAGCCGCTCGTGGGCAGACGGTCTTAGCCAAGTACCGTTGAAGCAACGCTGGGCCGAGTCGGAGTGCCTGCTAGGCCTATCTGCCGAGCTCGCTTGGTCGGCGTCGGTAGATTCGTCGCCGTTGTAGCTTTTCTCGGGTGTTTGTGGGTCTAGCGTTCTTGTTCGTCGTCGTCTGTTTTAAGTACTTTTTTCTTGCTGCTTGAAGTCGGTACGCGAGACGAACACGTAGAAATATAAACGTTCGTTGGTCGTCGCGGCCAAGTAACTGAACTACGCCGTCGGCCCTACTGTAGTTGCTTCGTTCACCACACGATAGGTGGCGCTTGGCTCTCAGCATTATTAAATTTGGCAATTTTCGTCACATCTCTAATTATTCTACAAAATGTGAATCTGAATATTATTTAACAAAACTTTTTGGAAACATTCGCCAGCTATTTATTGTTTACGATCGCGGCGCTGGTGAGGTAGGCTCTTACCCAATAGGCGACGTGGATTCGGCTGACGTTTTGCGGTTCCGCGGATGCATCGCAGTGAAAAGGCAGAGAACTTTCGAAGGAAAGAAGGCGCAAAAAAGTCCGGTTTTCTTTTCAAAGTTATATAGCGAAGAATCTTTTTTGGCTCCCTATTTTTGCGTTTTTGTGGTGTTTTTTTTTACACCTTTTACGACGTGTGGTGGATGAAATTCGACTTCAGAACCGTTTCATGGTCCCTTTGAGCTGAAACGAAGTTGATTCGATGCCTCTTAGACGTAGCTATACTCCGTTTCGCCATACTTTGCTAAAGGCCAAAGGCTACCGCCTCTGTAAGCCAAATAGTGTGTTGATGGGAAGCGCGGGACACTTCTTCTAGAAGGAAGGCACGCTGATGGTAAACGTTGACACGTGCGTGCTTCGCTCCAGCGCACTCTGATTGGCTTGATGGGGCCCTATCTATAGCTTTTTCTGTTGGAAAAGTTCACCTAAAAAGGAGTAATAGCGGACTCCGGCCGAAACGTTGAAGAATAAATCGTCCGTTTTTGCTGTTTTCGCTGAGAGTTTTTTCCTTCTCAGTTATATACCCACGCCTTCGGCCTACCGCCACCATGCCCGTTATATATATATTGTGAGGGTGCTTATGCGTAGCACTGCCCACGGACATCGTCATCGTCACTGTTGGCTGTGTGTGGGCCAATCGGCATCGTCGGCTGATTAGTGGCACCTTTTTTGAAACGTTCCATAGCTATCAGACTCTGATAAAAAAAACGTCATCTGACCGACCTGTCTCTGTCTCACAACG